TAATAAATAAATAAATAATAACTACACACACACCTACCTACCTACCTACTACGTACTACTATATATATATATATATATATATATATATATATATATATATATATATATGATGGGCACTCCTTTTATTGCGCGCCAAAACTAAAATAGCACCAAAAAAGGATGTTTCCGGGTGCAATAATATGTAAATACCCAGCCTTCTGTATTTTTTAGAAGATGGCTATGTATGAGCCTATGAATAAATAATAGTATGTACTATTGAAAAATCAAAAATAATAGCCTCTGTCAATCAGGCAGAAAAAGAGGCTTAGAGCGCATCAAATTTTAATTACAGGTAGGTGTCAACAGATATTTGTCTTGAGTATGTATAGCATATGCCAGGACCCTTCACGGGCATCTCAAGGTTGTCATGGAGGGCAGTATTCACCAGAGAATATGATGTCTTCAAGCCTGCTTGTCACTGCTTTCAAGTCTTCATCTAAGTGGTGCTGTTTTAAATTCTGTTATTGTATCTATTGATCATTGATATCACATGTCAGCGACGGTTATGAAAAGTTGAGTTCACTGAACAGTCGAACACTTTAGAGCTTAATAAGTAATCTCACGAGGGTTTGATTGTATATACATACACATGTACGCATCAAAAGAAATCTCTGTTTATAATACACATACAGAGGCGCTGGAGTGCACGATACCATCCTTGATAAATAGGCTGCACCACTATCTGAACAAATGGCATCAATTCCAATCCTGAAGAACACTTATTATAAAGTTATGCTATCTAACATTTATCACAGGCGGAAACCACGTCTCAATCTACTTGTAATAACTTTATATCTGCTTGTAAAACACTTATATAGATTCTGAAGGGTATGATATAATCTTATTGTAGATTTAATATAGACTAAATAAAATACTACCTTTACATACTTGAGAAAATTTAAAAGCAATGTCATCTAATATTCATCACAGGCGGACACTAAAACTCAATTATTTTAAACACTATATGGCTGCACCTGAGCCGGGTGAAGCACAAATTTTTAAGGGTCTAGCAGCGCCAATAAGAGATATAAAATTGTCAGCAGACCTGCTTGGTCGTATATATATTCTATACCCACTCAGAAAGTACATTATATGCAGCGAGAGAATTATATGCCGGTGGAATTACTACAGTGACAATCTGGTACAGAACCAAAAGCAACGGAAAAAACATTTCTCAGTGTCTTTTTTAGGAGGTATGCTTAGTATGTACTATGTACTAACGTAGATAATGAGCCGACATGGCGGTACAAACGAATTGTGCGCGTGGCCAAAGTACTCGAAGTGCAGGCTGCATTACAATTTTTAATTGATGTAAATATTTCGCGTTCCCAAGTACTCATACCGTTGACGACTGCAGCAAACACCCCTTTCTCGCTTACGTACTCTACAGACGTTTGCGTGTCTCTATGAGTGAATGACTGTATTTGAGTGTATTTGTTATCTAATACAGAGTTGCAGACTACAGATTACAGACTCACTGGTCAAAAGTTGTCAATGAAGGCAATGCAAAAGTCAAAACATATTTTTTTAATAAAATATAGTATAATGTCTGTGTTCACAAGTGTTGTTGACGTGTTGTATGTATTCTATTTTTGAATTTTTAGAACGCTATGGTCAAAAGTCATTTGTTATATTTGAAAAAAAAATTAAACCAATACAGTATATCATATATGTTCTTTGGAGGCTATGCCATATATTTATGTATAAAAAGGGGGTTTTATTTTAAAATATGTACTAGTGTAAGAGACGAGTTGGGACTTCAGACTTGGGACTGTGAGGGCGAGTCCTCGCTAGAGTTAAAATAGACTAGAGAGAGTAAAACAAATAAAAGTCCTTATTTTGTTTTAAAAATATCGGGTTTTCCCTATAATTTTTTTTAAACCAAGTTCTTGATCGATCAAGAAATAAAAAGGTAAATATTTGTCCATTTTTTAAAGTTCCTACGTATTTCTTTGACATAGCCTTTAGAATTAGGACCGGTGGGCAAACATAGTTAACGTAAGATCAATATTGTTGAATATTTACCTGCCAATTTTCTATTGCTTGTTCTGTTATTCTAAATTTGGACGCTTGTTAGTACATAAAATAGATTTTCGTGGTTTACGTAAAACCGTAAGCTTTAATCTTTAACGAAAGTCGAAAGTGCCCCTACTAGAATTGCCAAGAGGGCACTTTCGGAATGATCCAGTTAACGGCTATGGACCTTTCATTGGCTTTCAAAACTTTAATTTGAATTTCACCGAAAAACTTTAACCGTTGGGACTCGTCAGTCGTCACTCGTCTCTCTCACACTCACAGCCTCACAGTAGAAAGAGTAGAGTCTATACTCTAGACTCTGAGTCACTCTGAGATGTACTTTATATTTTTATTTTTAAAAATTTGAGAGTGAGAGACTGTGTCAGAGACATAGAGAGACTGAAGACAGGAGTATCTGACTTTGCTGTACAATCAAACCTGGATTATTGCCCAGGGTTCGGCCAAAAATTGAACAAAATTAGAGGTAGACAATAATGGACATGTGGGGCCTGGGGCCTATTTTTCAGGTTCATGTTAATTTGTACTGCGCGGTTGTTTTGGTACATTACAGTTGCTTGGATTGTTTTGATACTCACTGCGCGATCGTATTCACAAGACTTTATGAGGTCAAAACGATCCTTCTGTTGTCCACTCGTGGTTTTGAACTCATTACTGTCTCCATCCCACTCATCGTGTATTTCCTTCTCAACTTCTAGCTCCTGCACCTCCCCATTTGATAGTATCTCTTCGATATTCGATAGTTGCATTTCGGTTGATTCAATAACTCAATCATTTACCTCGGTTCTCAGTGCGGATGTTATGGGCTCGTCGGGATTAAATATCTTACAATATGATATGAACGTTGCTTTGAGATCAATGATTTCGCTTTCTTCCCTAGATGTGATTCTCTTCGCAAAATCGGGCGTATTATTTATCAGGTTGCCCTCCGGAAGACATGTTGATTTCAGCCAGCAATGGGCAATGCTTTTGGTAGTTGTAGTTTCTCATATATCGTGTATGATACGAGCAGCATCTAAGAAATTTGCAGATTGTCCGTCCACAACAAAAATATAGTTTATATAGGACGCATATAAAACAGTGGATCCGTCTGAAAACAATGGACAAAGATAGAGGTAAACAAAATTGGATGTAGACGATAATAGAGGTTTGACTATAACATTTTTTTTAAATAATTTTTAAAAACAATAATAAAATGCAGAACTTTAGTAGTTCAGAACTTCACCAAAACAGAATGTATTTTTGTTGTTGTTGTTTGTTCCAGAATGCAGAATTACTCCAGAGTACAAACTCCGGAGTGAGGGGACAATCACAATGGTAAAAATAGTCCGTTCCAGTTATAAATACTTATTTTCCAGAGTGAGGATGAACTTCTGAAGACTGAAGGAGTGAAGGCTCAGAGCACTCGATAAGTTCTAGGGGTACGGAATATGTTCCAACTTTAATGTTAACTTTTTAATTTTTAAACCAGTTATAACTTATATTTAGGACAAACCAACTACAAAGTACTTGAGAGTCAGAGATTTCAGATTCCCAGATTCCCAGATTCCCAGTCCCGATTAAACCCCTAAATGGATAGGGATAATAATATATTTTTTTCAAAAATGGCAAGTATGTATGATACAATGTATGAACATTTGGTATAGCTCTCATAGTCACTGTAGTGGTTCAGGAAAGATTGATGGGAAGAAGTGGTCAGTAAATTCCCGTTTGAAGCTTGGGCCAAGTGAGTTGACAATGGAAGATATGTGCTGAGTCAATTCGGGCCGGTGTTGATAAAACACTGTTACTATCGAATGTTCCATATATTCGCTTGCTGACCTACTAAGTAGAGTACCCACCTATGTGGTACGGATCGGGTCTGCGCCGTGTAGTGCCGCGGAATGGGTTAATGCAGAGTACGAAATACCGAGAAGGACCAGGTTATCCGTCATAATCTGGTCGAGAAGCGAGGATGGCGGTAAGCCAATGCCGCGCCAGACCACGGATGAATTCGGTATGTGTTGGCTGGCCTGGATCGGAAGTATCATAGTCGGAACCTACAAGCGCCCATGATTTGGTTTGAACCGATATTTGGAAGTAGTATTTCAACAGCGTGATTAGCCGGGGTATGAGGAACATCTGTTGATGTGTCAGGGACGGGTGAGGGTACGCAAGGTGTTCGTGGAGAGTCCAGATACCATGGAAGTTGTGGCACTCCTGTAATTGCTGAAATAGGTCAAGGCCAATGGGCGACAGTTTCGGGCTAACCAGTATGCGTCGAATCAGTTGTTGGATGCAGGTAAAGTGGATGGTAGTGAACTTGTGGCTACCGGGGCAGACAGAGCAGAGACAGCCGTCGGTGCGGTAGTCGAGCAATGTGAACATGTACGTATTCGTTACAATCATAGCACAGAGCCGGATTGGTGTAGACTCGAAGCAGCGATTGAAGCTGTCGTGTCTCGCTGTGTCTCGGTTTGAGGTTGGCGGTTTACCCATAACCA